GTCGCTCGTCGATCATCATGCCAAATTAGTAAATGTGTGAAATTTCAAAAGAATCCGTTCAAAGCTCATGGAATATCGGAACCCAAACTGATTAAGTTCAAGGAATATCGGACCCCAAATTTAGTAATTTTTACCAAGAAATGTATTTTTGACGAAAAGCGTTTGCCTCGTGGCATGTATTTTTTTAAAATATTGGCAAAATTGGGGTCCGATATTTCCTTGAACTTACTAAATTTGGCGTGATAAACTGATTTATGGAGCTGGTCTTTCTGTTAATGTGAAAAATACAAATAACTGTTAATATTTTCTAAAGCTATCAACAGAATGAGCTGTTAGACTATCTCTGTAAAAATACATTGGGTAAAATTCAATCTGTACAGACAGCTGCTTTTTTAATGTGAAATCACTCTCTCTGCTTAATGACGTGCCTCAATGTTTTCTCTGGATGGTGATCTGTAAAACGGAAAAAAACAATTCTTATACGGTCATAAAATATTTAATTTTCTTTTTTTCCCCATAAATTGTTATTAAAAAGGGAAATATGCCGGAAAGGTACAGAATAATAAATGAAATTAGTACAATCACATGAATTAACAGTTAATAAAAGTTAGGAAACCTGCACGGAACTTCGAGATCAGGAAAATAATATATTCCTGTCCGCGGACTTACGTATTCATATCTGGCTAATCAGAAGCAGCTATATAATTATATTTTTAAATGGCATTTTAGAGTTATCTTATCAAAGTTTTATTTTGTATTTCGTTTCTTACAGTTTAGTTGAGTTACCCCGAGAAATATTTTATCCTCAAATATTCTGCCAAAACATTGCAGGTATAAATATTCATCTTTTGCGTTCGTGATATGCTATTCTCATCAGCTCTAGCTGGCAAATAAATTGATTGAAAGATTGATTTGTTTACATCGCATATTTTAATGAAAAGTGACTGTGCAAATAATCGTAGACTATTCGTATCAAGGGTAAAATTTTGCTTTATCGGATAATTGAAGGTACGTCTCTTTAGCCAAGGGTCTTTCTTACACCAATACACAATTATAATTTACGGGTTTAACTGCATTTTAAAATTTCGCTTATTATACATTGTATACCCAGTGATCATGTGTGATGTCCCTCGTTTTTATCTCTTCTTAATTATTATCATTTTCTTTTAAAATGTCAACGGCCTTGCGAGAGAAAAATTAAAGAACAATATTCGGAAATCACTCGTGTATAGCAGAAACTCCGGCTACAAACAATTGAACACGAGTTTGGTGCTAAGGAAAGCGTCGAGACCACTCCGTATGGTTAAATGAAAAAAACAAATGCGATAGCACTTAAAATGTTCAAATTAAATTAGTAAATTTTCAGTGAGGAAATGATAGTATTCAGCTTTTAAATTTCATAGTAAGGGAAGCCATCGCACTTTCCTAATGCGTCATATCATGAAATATCATATTTATCTATATCACTTATCTTGTAGATACTTGCTTGTTCCTTGTCAACTGTCAAACTATCGTTGTATAAATTAAATGAAATTCTCATCACGTATTGACTGAAAAGAAATGTATAAAATGTGACACTGAGCTCACCTAATACAAAATTATACTGCACCTTTAAAATCCTTTTTGCTTATCAATGACACACATAATTAAGTCTTGACTGGACATGAGACATCGGTGGAAAAAACATTCCCACCCAAAGATTTGCAAGTGAAACATGTATTTCATTTATTGATAGGTATATCAACTTATTTTACTTGATTTGACTTGGAAAACGCTTGGCAAGAAGAACCATTACGATGAACAACTCCACTCTCAATAGTTTTGGAGATCAAGCGTCTTGTCGGTTCGGTGTTCCTGTCTTCTTTACAACAGTCATGGCCATAATCAGCGTAGCAGCGTTCACTGGAAACATTCTCGTGATAGTCGCGGTGTGCAAAACCCCACGTCTGAGAACAAGCACCAACTACTACTATGTCAACATGGCCGTTTCCGATTTTTTTTCCTGTCTCATCACCTGGCCTTTGTACCTCACAGATGAGATCGTAACAAGCAGTGGAAGTCTGTTGCAAGGTTCGCTAGCGACTATTGGTTGTAAAGTGGGAATATACTTCAAAATGCTATCGGCTATAGTCTCCATTCTAAGCCTGGTTTTGATTGCTGTCGACAGATTCGTCGCTATTGTCTTCCCTTTAAAAGTGCGGCTGATCAGTACAAAATTAAGGGCAGCTTTGCTGTTTGCAACATGGTTGATATCAATGGGTTACTGCATCCCCATGTTCTACTATTTCAGAGTGGAAAAAGTTCGTCAGGAAACATTCTGCAGATTTTCTTGGAATAGCTATGCTCGAATGGTGTACTACATTACCGGCTTAGCTTTGTTTGAAGTCATACCTTTAATCATTATCATCATTCTTTACTCCTGTATCATGGGAGTTTTGAGCAAAAGACCGAAACCAAATTGCCCGACAAGATGTAACTCCGAACAAAACAGAAACAATCAAAACAAAACAATCATGAGGATTTTTAAGTCTATTGTTGTAGCATACTTTATTTCTTATTCCTTCTATTGCATTTATTTGTTTCTCAAAATCACTTCCCCTGATCTTTTTATCAAGGACAGATGTAAGTTAATTTTTGGTTTTGCCTTTTTTGTGTTGCCATCGTTTAGCACAGCAATCAATCCGGTAATTTTGTTTACATTTAGCACCAATTTTCGCCAAACTCTTCCTCAGCTGTGGCCATTCAATCGGAAAGTACAGCCGTCATGTTGTAAAGCCGAAGACGCGTCGGAGAGGCAGGGCATTGCGGAGTCCCCAGCAGAGCTAGTGGAACTAAAACGCACGAAATGTAAAGTGTAATTAAGACGAAATGAATAGCATCCCGTTAAAATCAGCTCTTGAACAAGTTGTGAACCGCTTACGTTTTCGATTGATGGTTTGCACTATGCCATCGAATTGAATTATCAAGTCAATAATCTATAATGTAATACTATGATCAACACATGAAGATTTATTTCGTGCCAGTTGAGTGGAAATGTTTCAGCCAGTTTTCGTGATAGATTTTCTTTTATGGAGACGCAATGTTGTTGTGCCTGGAGGGACATTAATATGTTAGCCGTAAACTAACAAAATGGCAACATCTCTGTTTGAGTTTTCCTATTAAAGCGAAAAGTTATTACTCTAGAGCTCCAATACGTCAAAATAAACACTTCGTCTAATTCAAAAACTGTTAGCAAAAACTTAAAGGATAGATCATCATTTTGGCCTAACCGACACTGAGCTTTTTCGGGCCGCGCAGTGCAAATGCTCGTAAATTCAAACACATTGTATCAACACGTTGTTGTAGGTAATCATATGACTGCGAGTGCAATGTTGAATAAATAAGAACGAGTAAATTTTTCAAAGGCTAACAAAATTGCTCGAGTCTGTAGGCCGAGTGCAATTTGTAGTCTTTGAAATATACTTATCTATTCCAAATTACACGAGAATAATCATATGATTACTTGTGAATAACACAGTTGAGAACATGCTATTTGAGGTCGTCTACACATTGTATCCTTAGGCAGGCTGCAGTGTGCTTGGTATTTCAATATCTTCGAATATTTTCGAAATATTTGCAAAACTTCCAAAAATGTTAAAACGTCTTCAGCGAGCTTCGGGTAATCTTCAGCAATCTTCGGAAATCATCAGAAGGATTCGGGTGATTTTCGGAAGTGTTCCAAAATGTTCGGGTGATATAAGAGTTTAGGTGATCTTCGGAGGTGTTTGGAAAACGTTCAATTCCTTTCGGCTCTCTTCGGAAGGCTTCGGGTGAGCTTCGACCAACTACGAAATACCTTGGATTACCGTTAGTAGTCGTGATCGTCTTTGCAATAATTTCGGATATCTTCGTTGTAATTTGCACTGGTGTTACATGAAAACTAGACTCACTTTTAGCCAATCACATCAAAGTGTATTACTACGAAATAACAAAAATTATCTTTGTAAAACGTCATATATTAGATGAAATTAAACATTCATTCAGAAACACAGCTGAGCTAGTGGGGGAGGGGTGTGTAGTAACCCACAATCTAAAGTTATCTTAATTAAACTACAGTTGTTCAGAATAAAAGTAAACATGTTTAGTCGTTGTGATCATACTGATGTGGTGTAACGCGAAGTAATGCAATCAGCAAACATTCAAAACTGACGTAAAGTTCTGAAAGATTAACTAAGCTAATTTATTTTGAAGTCATTTCTCAAAACATTCTTACTACCCCAGGGGTTTAAAAGTTTTGAAGCTTTCTATTATTTTTATTTTCATTTTTTGAGAACATTGCGAATCTCCTATGGTGTCATTATAACTGGCAGGGACTTGCTCTATAATATTAATTGTAATTTTTTTCTGCCTAACACTTTGTAAAACGCACTGAGTCGGCTAAATAGGCCATTTTTGTATTCTCGGTAAGGGACGGAACTCGCTTGCAACTGAGGCTAAGTTGAGTCTTTTCAAATGGAAATGACATTAATCTCTTTTCAATGATTTTTCCCTCGCATGAGCCTCCATTGCAATCTGGATAAACAAAAATCACACTTACTTTGGAGGAATACACGTAAATTTACAAAATGCTTTGGCTTAGCTCCATGATATGTTTCATGTTCTTTAATTTGCTGTTCACAGTTACGTTAAACGGAGCCCACTTGCAGATAACCAACAGAAAAGTACCTTACATTACGAGGAACGTACAAATACTGGACCTTTTGACTGTTTTTTTTTTTCTTGTTAGAAGCCTAAAAAGGTTATACCGTTACAGTGTAGCCGTTTGGATCCCGAAAAAGGCCATAACTTGTTCACTCGTATAATTGGGCATTTGTTTAATACCATTATTGTGGCCTCAATTAAAACACGAAACTGGCATGAAAGGTCATCAGCCTCCAATTCCTGACAATAAAAGGAAAAAAGAAAACCTTTTAACTACGTTTACTGATAACAGCTATTAATACAGAATTTCACCTTGTGCACGCGGCGGGTAGGATTGTCAACTAATCGGCAAAATTTGCAGAGTAAAGGAAAGTGACGAACTGTCATTCAATCAATTTAATTCACAGCAATAGTTTATGGCTACGCTGCGCCGTGTTACAGTGTCTCATTATTGTAGCCTCAATTAAAACACGAGGCTGGCATGGAAGGTCATCAGCCTTTAAACTCCTGACAATAAAGGGAAAAAATACCTTTTAACTACGTTTACTTAGAACAGCTATTAATACAGAATTTTACCTTGTGCACGCGAATAGGATTGTCAACTAATCGGCGGAATTTTCAGAGTGTAAAGGAAAGTGACGAACTGAAGTGACGAATTTATTTCACAGCAATAGCCAATGGCTGCGCCGTGTTACAGTGCATATGCTCATGTGTAATATCATTTATAAGTGAATCTATTTAAAATGTTAAAATCGATTGTGAGATCTACAAGAGGTACAGCTCTAACAACAATTACTGTGGATTGAGTCACAATTCTCAGTGTGAATTGTATATCAATCCACAGCTGTATTACAGTGTTTATGCTCATGTGTAATAACATTGATACGTGTATCTATTTGAACTGTTAAAATCGATTGTAAAACAGTGACTCGCCTCAGTTTACTTACTACTGCGAGATCTAAAAGGGTTACAGCTCTAACAGCTGTGGATTGAGAGCATAATCCCCTTCACAGTGTGAATTGTGACTTGTCAGCTTGGTAAATGGTAGATAATTATTTCGATCAAGGAGGCAAGGAAGTCCACCTAATGCCCTGAAGATCAACTTTCATGATAACTAACCTATTCAAGGTAATGTATAAACACATTATTTTCACTTGGTCCTGTCGGAGATATCACAGCCAAATATCAAAGCTAAGTAGTAATGAAACGAAAAAAATAATAAAAAAAATAGCTCGGACATATGTTGATTGGAGGTTAGACCTCAGAGCCTCAGATCATCGTTTTTATTCACGATATTTTAATACTGTATCGCGAGCGAGCGAGTCTTCGTACATCGAGACATTTATCTGCTTACTTCACTCTTGGGAAAAAACACGACACATCCAGTGCTTGTGCCTGGAAGAAATCCTACCAAAGCCACGACAGAACGGGTGTCATTCTGTTTCTTTTGTGATGTACATTTCTGGTGCCGCTTTCCTCGTTTGGATAATACAAAGACGTGAATGTCTCTAAAATGAAAGAAGGTATTCCAAAACCAGGCTGTCCACAGACCATCTTTTTTGTATCGAATTCGTCGAGATCGCAAGCTTAGCGCTGTGCTCGGCTTCCGCGCACTCGAAGAAGAATATCTGGTGGCAAAAAAAGAAAAAAACGTCTGCGGACAGACTATTCCAAAAGGAAAAACTACATTCTTGTTTATTTCGAAAAAACCTTTCAAATAAGCAGTGATTATTCTTTACTTCATTGGCACGTTGTCACGCAGCCCAAATCTAGCTACTATTGATTGCTTTTGTTAGCTGAAATACATCATTGCAACAGAAGCCGCGAAGACGACTGAAAGGGGTGTGAAGTGACGTGTGTGGCGTCATGTGCCGTCATTTACCAACAAAAGCACCTCACTGATATTGTAGAAAAAGGCGAGGGTTATTTACTGAACTAAATTCCGTGTGTCGTANCGAGATCAGGAAAATAATATATTCCTGTCCGCGGACTTACGTATTCATATCTGGCTAATCAGAAGCAGCTATATAATTATATTTTTAAATGGCATTTTAGAGTTATCTTATCAAAGTTTTATTTTGTATTTCGTTTCTTACAGTTTAGTTGAGTTACCCCGAGAAATATTTTATCCTCAAATATTCTGCCAAAACATTGCAGGTATAAATATTCATCTTTTGCGTTCGTGATATGCTATTCTCATCAGCTCTAGCTGGCAAATAAATTGATTGAAAGATTGATTTGTTTACATCGCATATTTTAATGAAAAGTGACTGTGCAAATAATCGTAGACTATTCGTATCAAGGGTAAAATTTTGCTTTATCGGATAATTGAAGGTACGTCTCTTTAGCCAAGGGTCTTTGTTACACCAATACACAATTATAATTTACGGGTTTAACTGCATTTTAAAATTTCGCTTATTATACATTGTATACCCAGTGATCATGTGTGATGTCCCTCGTTTTTATCTCTTCTTAATTATTATCATTTTCTTTTAAAATGTCAACGGCCTTGCGAGAGAAAAATTAAAGAACAATATTCGGAAATCACTCGTGTATAGCAGAAACTCCGGCTACAAACAATTGAACACGAGTTTGGTGCTAAGGAAAGCGTCGAGACCACTCCGTATGGTTAAATGAAAAAAACAAATGCGATAGCACTTAAAATGTTCAAATTAAATTAGTAAATTTTCAGTGAGGAAATGATAGTATTCAGCTTTTAAATTTCATAGTAAGGGAAGCCATCGCACTTTCCTAATGCGTCATATCATGAAATATCATATTTATCTATATCACTTATCTTGTAGATACTTGCTTGTTCCTTGTCAACTGTCAAACTATCGTTGTATAAATTAAATGAAATTCTCATCACGTATTGACTGAAAAGAAATGTATAAAATGTGACACTGAGCTCACCTAATACAAAATTATACTGCACCTTTAAAATCCTTTTTGCTTATCAATGACACACATAATTAAGTCTTGACTGGACATGAGACATCGGTGGAAAAAACATTCCCACCCAAAGATTTGCAAGTGAAACATGTATTTCATTTATTGATAGGTATATCAACTTATTTTACTTGATTTGACTTGGAAAACGCTTGGCAAGAAGAACCATTACGATGAACAACTCCACTCTCAATAGTTTTGGAGATCAAGCGTCTTGTCGGTTCGGTGTTCCTGTCTTCTTTACAACAGTCATGGCCATAATCAGCGTAGCAGCGTTCACTGGAAACATTCTCGTGATAGTCGCGGTGTGCAAAACCCCACGTCTGAGAACAAGCACCAACTACTACTATGTCAACATGGCCGTTTCCGATTTTTTTTCCTGTCTCATCACCTGGCCTTTGTACCTCACAGATGAGATCGTAACAAGCAGTGGAAGTCTGTTGCAAGGTTCGCTAGCGACTATTGGTTGTAAAGTGGGAATATACTTCAAAATGCTATCGGCTATAGTCTCCATTCTAAGCCTGGTTTTGATTGCTGTCGACAGATTCGTCGCTATTGTCTTCCCTTTAAAAGTGCGGCTGATCAGTACAAAATTAAGGGCAGCTTTGCTGTTTGCAACATGGTTGATATCAATGGGTTACTGCATCCCCATGTTCTACTATTTCAGAGTGGAAAAAGTTCGTCAGGAAACATTCTGCAGATTTTCTTGGAATAGCTATGCTCGAATGGTGTACTACATTACCGGCTTAGCTTTGTTTGAAGTCATACCTTTAATCATTATCATCATTCTTTACTCCTGTATCATGGGAGTTTTGAGCAAAAGACCGAAACCAAATTGCCCGACAAGATGTAACTCCGAACAAAACAGAAACAATCAAAACAAAACAATCATGAGGATTTTTAAGTCTATTGTTGTAGCATACTTTATTTCTTATTCCTTCTATTGCATTTATTTGTTTCTCAAAATCACTTCCCCTGATCTTTTTATCAAGGACAGATGTAAGTTAATTTTTGGTTTTGCCTTTTTTGTGTTGCCATCGTTTAGCACAGCAATCAATCCGGTAATTTTGTTTACATTTAGCACCAATTTTCGCCAAACTCTTCCTCAGCTGTGGCCATTCAATCGGAAAGTACAGCCGTCATGTTGTAAAGCCGAAGACGCGTCGGAGAGGCAGGGCATTGCGGAGTCCCCAGCAGAGCTAGTGGAACTAAAACGCACGAAATGTAAAGTGTAATTAAGACGAAATGAATAGCATCCCGTTAAAATCAGCTCTTGAACAAGTTGTGAACCGCTTACGTTTTCGATTGATGGTTTGCACTATGCCATCGAATTGAATTATCAAGTCAATAATCTATAATGTAATACTATGATCAACACATGAAGATTTATTTCGTGCCAGTTGAGTGGAAATGTTTCAGCCAGTTTTCGTGATAGATTTTCTTTTATGGAGACGCAATGTTGTTGTGCCTGGAGGGACATTAATATGTTAGCCGTAAACTAACAAAATGGCAACATCTCTGTTTGAGTTTTCCTATTAAAGCGAAAAGTTATTACTCTAGAGCTCCAATACGTCAAAATAAACACTTCGTCTAATTCAAAAACTGTTAGCAAAAACTTAAAGGATAGATCATCATTTTGGCCTAACCGACACTGAGCTTTTTCGGGCCGCGCAGTGCAAATGCTCGTAAATTCAAACACATTGTATCAACACGTTGTTGTAGGTAATCATATGACTGCGAGTGCAATGTTGAATAAATAAGAACGAGTAAATTTTTCAAAGGCTAACAAAATTGCTCGAGTCTGTAGGCCGAGTGCAATTTGTAGTCTTTGAAATATACT